CGCACGCCTCGGTCTGCAGCAGAGCTCCTGGCCCTGCGCTGTGCCTGGCTGGGGTTGTTCTTGGTCCGAGCTGGTGGGGGTTTGTGTGTGTTTGGAGGTTTTTTTGGGGGTTGTTTTGTTTTGTTTTTTACAGAGTGTGGAAAATACACATTGTCAAGGACAGATTCAGCCTGGGTACCTGCTTTTTCTATGCTCATCGTTGTTGGCAGGGGTTTCACTGCAATATTTTGCATGAACAGGCACTAAGTTTCCAAGTACAGGATTAGTTTGCAGTAGTTAGGGTTTTTCTGTGCTACCCTGACTTTATTTCCAGGTTCCTACTGTTGTAACTGGGATACTTTCTGGCCCAGCAGGCGAGGCGAGGTGACTGTCCCCCGTTGGTGGGATGCTGTAGCAGGGCTGCAGAGCAACCCGCGTGCCCCTTCCTCGAGGGACCTCTCATGAACCTCTCCTGTACGAGAAATTGCCTCTGAGCGCCTCAGCATGCACCAGGCTATTCTGAGGAGCTGCTGATAAGATCTAGAAGACTTCTTCCAGTTGTAGACTTTTGATTTTCAAGGCCGTATTTCAGACCTGGGCGAGAGAGCAGTCACAACGCCCCCACACCCCCCGTGAGCGGGACTTACCCCACTCACAAGCCTGTTCATACAGGGCAGGCTTTTGCCCGCAGCCCTGGCGTGGGCTACGGGAGCTTCTTAGAACCCAGTGCTTACATTCGGTTGTGGTGGAGGGTGGTGTTTGGCCCAGGAAGAGCGCGTACAGGCTGGGGAGCTTGGTGTCTCATCCCACCTCCAAAGCAGCAGAGCTGATCTTGGCTTCAGGTACCTCCTTAGGCGGAGGCAGTGGCTCAGCAGCCGTTAAACTGGAGCCTAAGGCTCAGACGCTTTACATCTATTGCCAGGTACAGGTAACGGGACTTCTGTGAGCTCTGGTGTCTTTCCGTGTCCATATATGCGTGGAGAAGAGTTCATGCTGCTGCTCCCTAACCTCTTGATCCCGGAACACCAAGTGAGGCTGGGCAGTCTCCATCTCTACAGGTGCTGGAAATTGAGGCTGGGTGGGGGTGGGTGGGTTTGCAGGTTTCCCGCAGGATTCCGGGCTTTCCGACCGGAGGCCATGCTGAAGGCAGTGCCAGTCACGCTGCGAAAACACCCGGGGATGCGTTCGGTGGGTACAGCCACGCGCCCGTGAGCTGGGGGGAAACTTCAGCCAAGCATTCCCTGCGTTTAGGGTTTTTCCTTCGCCAGTGCCTCTGTCATTCCAGAAAAGGCAGCACACGGCAAGCGTGGGCTCCTCTCTGCTCTGTCTTGGGTGACCTGGCACAGCAGCGTCTCTAGAACCCGAGATGAAAAGCGTACGATTTCTGTATTTGCATAATGGAAAATGAGTCAGAGGAGAAGGCGGCTTTGTGGGGCAAGATTAAGCTAATGGGGGGATTAGCAAATGGTATAATAAATGATTTCCAGCTCTCTTCTTTATTCCTATTGCCCAAACTGCACAAAGGCACACATGGCCCTCGTGTCACCTGCAGGGGCACCCGCTGGGATGAAAGGAAGGGATATGTAATAGAATTGCTGAGACAAAAATCCCTTGAATATGTACGTATTGCCAGGAGAGATGAGTGGTACCATTTAGATGAATTCTTGGGCAAGATTCTTGTATTTTGTTGGGGTTTTTTTTAATATTGTCTGCAGGTTTTGCATGAAGAAATACTTGCTGTTCATTTGCCTGTTTTGAAAATGCCTAGAGAGGTTAAAGCCCTTTGAGAACGGTGTGTATGGATATGTTGGTATTAAGAAGTCAGACTGCTGTACCAGAAGTTTTATAAGGTGCATATTAACCCAGAAAGTGAGAAAACTCAGCCTTCAACCAAGAACTCTCTGAATAAACCCCCGTGTTTGAGCACAGATTGTAAGGGAACCGCTTTTACGGCCGTCGAGAGCGTCCCCGGGCGCCGCAGGGCAGGGCGCGCAGGCTGTGCCGCAGGGCGCGGGTCGGGGCAGGGCTCTGCCTTCCCCGCTCCTTCGCTCTAGGCGTTCCTCGCCCGCCGGCGAACAGGGTGACAGGGGCTGACTTTGCTTTCCCAGCACGGACTCGGTCCACGGAGAGCGTCAGAAGGGAAGGTCCTGACGATGAGTGGAGAGACAAAGCGCAGTTCTCCTCAGTGATTCTCCTGAAATGTTAGTGATGGATTAAAACCAGCCAGGCTGAGGAACGGAGCGAAAAAAAGAAGAGGAGGGGAAAAAACTTGATTTCTGCCCCCCCCCCCTTTTTTTTCCCTCCTCTCTTCTGTGTGGGCCCTTTGTTTCCTCTTATCCAATGGTTTCTGAAAGCCACCCCTGGAGTTTGGTGGCCAACATCAGCAGTTCGTGTTACTGCTCTGCTGCAAAACAGCGACAGACGCGTTGTTTCGCTGACGCTGTTTTCTGCTTGGTTTTTTTAATGAAAAAGATC